AAAATGCACTATTTCTGAGACTTTAAATCTTTTTATTTTTCATAGTCATACATCTTGATGTTTGAGATGATCAATCAAGGGGTTTTCAATATTAAAACTACCTTTTCCGATGGATTTTTGAGGTGCATCTGTAGTTCTACACTATAAGGTTGCATCCTTATATAAACTTTTTCCATATTAAAATGTAACTCATGACAAAAAATGAATCTCTCTAACTCAATTTATTTATTTTTGTATTAACTTAAGAGTTCTGACTTTTAAAAGAAGCCATATGGAACAAATTTAGTGGAATAGGTTGTTAGTAGAAAGAGAGATATAAAGAGAAAAATTTAGCGAAATTGATTGTTTGTGGAGAGAGAGAGAGATGGATGCCAAGGAGAGAGAGAGTGATGGATGCTAAGGAGAGAGAGAGAGATGTATGCCAAGTGGACAAAGAGAGAGATAGATGAGCGAGAGCCAGAGAGAGATGCCAAGAGGGGAGAGAGAGCTGGATGCTAAGAGAGAGATACAAGAGAGGTGGACGCCAAGAGAGAGAGAATTTGTGTCAGAGAATTATGCAAGGTAGGCTTCGAGAGAGAGAAAGAGACATTGCACAAGTGAGGGTATTTTTCATGTAGTGAAGAAAGGTATTTTCATGTAGTGAAGAAGGCACAAATAAAGTCCCACATTAGACGAAAAAAAGGTTATAAAAGGCTTAGCCACCCGCCAATGTGTACCACATTAGTCACATGGGCATTGCCTCATGGTGACCTATACGAAGGAAATGATTGGCCCCCAAGTTGTGTTGACTTTGAGAAGGCAATAAATTATGTTGTGGGCCACAGCTCACTTTTCAAAAAAATTTAAAAAATTCAAAACTTCTGAAAAAATTCAAAACAGGATGATGACGTCATAACCGATTCACTGACATCATAACCGGTTCTGCAGAGAACCGGTACAAACTGATCAGAATCGACCAGTTCAGAGGGGGTACCTGGCCGGTTCGCAATATATGACCGGAGCCGGAATGCCCCAATTGATTCCCAATCTAGATCACCAAATTTTCGAACCTTGATTTAGCCAAATGCTTTCCTAGTGAATTATAAACCCCAAATTTCAAATTTTTGTAATTACTAGTTTATGTATACTATGTGAGGTTATATGCATGAAGCTAGAAACATAAGATACGCCATTTTAAATGACAAATACCACAGTTGAAACACTGTCCCTTTACTTCCAAAAGGTCTTGCTTCAGAAAGGCGGTAATCACTCACATACCTCATTTTTGATGAGCTTCGACATCTCCATTTGCTCATCCATCTTCCCATCCAAGTTTTGAAGCCTTTGAGTCAGATGTCTTTTTGTATACTGAAAATCAAGTTTAAGAGCATTCAAACTTTAATATGTACTAATAAGAATCCTTTAAGTTCAAATTTGCAAGAATAACATGATATTTGAGGTTGCGAAACTTACAGCTAAAGCAGCAGATACTTGTTCCAACTGTTTTGAAACATTTGCAACAGCATTTGCCATATTACGCTTCGTAACATACATAAAGTCAGATAAGGATAATCCCTGTATAAAATGGATAAAAGACAAAAATGAATCTTAAATCCAGATGCTATACTCAATTGCTATAATCATGAAGAACTTCAAAAGAGATATTATCTTCATAAAAACCCCAATCATAAGGTATTTCATCAATCATCATCATCATCAAATTTTTTTCCCAACTAATTGGAGTCGGCTATATGAATCCTGATCCGCCATTCAACTCTATTAAGGGGCATACCCTCAGTAAGGCCATAAGGTATTTCATCAATACTGTTACTTATTAAGGTTTCAGTACATACAAAAGTGAGTCAAGAATTATCTTAGAAAAGATAGAAGCCATTTAAAGGACTTCAAATAAAATAAATAAGTAATTAAACATAGCAGTAGATTGTCACTTTCCAGCATGAGAGGCTCTATGTAGCAAAATTATACACCCCAAAATGTGAAATCATAAGAATATCTAGTTTTTCAAGTTACCAATAAAAAGAACTTGCCTTCCACCACATATAGCAATATCCCAGTGCTCCAAGCGCAGCTGCTGGCATTATATAGGATGCTAAGTTCCCTGGATACATAAGTGAGAGACCATAGAACATCAATAAAAATAGTATTATCCAGTTTTTGATATGATATTTGAGTGACACATTAATGAATTGATATGATATTTGAGTGACACATTAATGAATTGATATGTTATTTGAGTGACACATTAATGAATAGGAAAAGGAAAAAAGACATTATAAGGTAATTCAATTTCAAAGTTACAACAGAAAGGACCATATTATTAGAAATTTAACTCATGGAATGATGTACAGCAACAACAACTTCCAGGCAAGCTGAGCTGGCTTAGAAGATGGTGGCCAGCCTTCCCAGAAATTTATACCAGTACAAGTGGCATCCCAACTTCATGGACTTTGGATGTAAAACAAAATAAGCAAAGAAAATGAAAGGAAAAGAGCCAAATCAAAATGCCAATTTCATGAATAGCATGCAAAGCTTAAGTTTTTGGTTCCATTGTTTAATGAACCCTGGCTGACTTTCATTATATACGAGACTTATAGGCACCAAGGAAAAGTCCAAGAAGAATCAACTAGGGAAGTATAAGGAACAGAGTTAGAGCTTGACAGTGAGAATGGATTAAGATCAATAAATAGATTCAATATATCTATTCCCTAGGGGTATGAGCGATCAAGGAGTTTCAACTGGTGCTGAATTCCATTTCATCAAGGAAGAAAGGGATAAAAAACAAAATGAAGTTACAACCACATCTCTGGCATCTCTAGTAACACCCTTATGATTCATGGAAAGGATATAATAAGTCCTACTACAAATGACCTAATAAAAAAACAAAATTATCAAATTTTGCTCTCAGATTTATATATAATCAAACACCTCCCAAGCTGGAGTCTGGTTTTATATTGCAAACCTCATCAATTAAAAAGATTAATTTATATCCAATGTCTTGACTGAAACTGAGTGCATTGTAGTCCTTGTTGAGAAGAAACGGAGTCAGGATGAGTCCTTTAATCTTCTTTCAGATGAAATGGTAGTGGACTATGCCCCAGGCACATGTGGAATGTAATGTGAATGATATTTGCTGCCACAAAACATTGTCATGGACGGAAGGAAATAGAACAAACCAAATTTCCTACAGATAACCCGTTGCCTTTGAAGATCAAAAAACCCAATCTCTTCCAAGAGATTATTAGTTCGCACCATCTATCTAAGATTAGAAGATATAATTTGAGATGCCACCCCGAGTTGCCTATAGCTTGTCAAAGTAAAGTAGCTGCTAGTATTTTCTACATTCTCGAAAAACTTTTTTTTCCTTTTTTTTAGTAAGTTATATATGAGAATCAAAACTTAGATGCCTCCCTGAGCCCTATGAATTTAAGAAAACTATCATGACCTATGAAAATCTATTAGGTTTCACTCTTAGATGAATCATAGAGATAACCTTTGATGAATAAGATTTTGCATTTGATTTCTAACAGCATTCCAAAAGAGTTTCATAATCAGAAAACTTGCAGTTGAGAGTACAAACTGAACTAGAGCTAAGGCTTAAGTTGATCTATCTTGATGTGCAAAAAAGGTTTAAAGAGGGTGGTTATTGTACTCTATTGACTAATGCCTCACATTGAGGCCAAGGCTAGAAATAAATACTTCCAGTATTGAAACAAAAAATTATATTAAGAAAATTGTAAACCTTATGCTTGTGTATCCTTTTCAGAAAATCTTTCTTTCTCCTAATCAAAGATTAGTGACTCTACACTGAATTTATCTTTATTTACATTTTACATTGGGAATCTAGATATCTAAATTTAATTTCAGTCTTAAACCAAAGCTCACGGCATGCACAAACGATTCCAATATTATAATACTTGATTTTATCAGTGAATGGATACTTTTTTTTGTCATCTGTATGCTGCAAATCAGAGATGCATACAAAACTAATATATCTTTGCTCACAAAAGATGGTCTTTGTCTGACCCAGGCTCCGAAACTCCTGGATCCTAAAAGGAGAATACAGTAAACATATAATTACACAGAGAGATGCAACTACATACCCTGAGAGGCAGAATCCCCGTTTATTATGGTTACAGGTCTAGATAAAGTCAGCTCCCTCACCTCTTGTGCCAAACGACGAACCTTCAGGTAGAGTCAAATGAAAAGTAAAGTTGGAGCTAGAAAATTATACACAAAAATAAAAATAAAAAGTAAAAATAGAAGTAGGCCCTTAGTTCTAACAGCAAATGCTGCCATGAAATTGCATGGGAACAGACACCAGATCCTCAGAAGCCCTGTCTAATAGGGATTAGGGACGTGTTCTGTTTTCAAGTTTCTTCATTATTGATGTTTCTTTTAGTCATCCCTTAGAAACTGCAATGCTTATTCTAGTTTTATGCCACTATCATCCCTTGTAGTATAGTCAGATGTATTGAATCTGGTGACCACAGGGAGTACACCTCTCTATTGTTTGAAACCGTAGTTTTCCCAAACTTATAACAGGAACATTCAAGGTTCCAGAAACTCCAGCTATGGTGTTAGCCATTTCTCATGTCTTGAGAAATACTTCCTCACCATGAACATAAAAATTTGCTAAAAAGAATAGCTTCCTAGCTGAATATAAAATCGAAGGTCAAAAGAAAGCCACTATCGACATTATCATAAGAACAAAAGGAAAAAATTCAAATTGTTGAAACAATTTGTAAAGCCACGGGCAAATAAATCAGTGAAACATTAAATCTCTAAAGCATAATACAACAATAAGAAATTGAAGAAACAAGGAACCTAAACAAAAATCATTGTATCTTAGTGCTTGCAACAATTGTCGATTAGAATTGATAACCATTAATTGTCATGCAGGAAAAGAGTTAGAATCAGATACCTGAGCTGCAAGAAAAGCTGACTGATCAAAGCCATGAGGAGAGACAGTTGCCTCATTGAGACCCTTTATCAATGCCTACAACAAAAATCAACCACCTTGCATCAGAGGCATCTTAAATCTTCAATATCAATTTCCAAGTAAACATAAAAACAAGCAAGTCCAGATACTACCGTAAATGTTATCATATTATCACACCCATATGAACAAGAAAAGGTGAGATATGTCCTTGAACTCTCTATAAGGCAAAAAACCTAAGTTACTGTGTAAAAATTGGTAATACCATATCTCGTTACTGTAAAAATCTCAAGTCAAGGGAACAAATCAAAATACAACCACAGCTGGTTCCTCACTCAATCAGGAAAGGGACTCATGTTCTACTTTAGAGAACAAAAGTCATGCCTCTTGAGCATTCTATCATTTGTCTCTTCACTGCAGTTATCTAACCTGATTATAAACATTGAGGATGGTGGGTTTGGAGAGTTTATACATTTTTATTTTGTGAGGCGTTGTCATCATTTTCCCCCTTTTGCTCATTTATTGTAAGTGAATAGTGTTTCTAAGACCAAAATGTCTGTCCCAAGTCATAAGCCTGCAAGTCTATAACAGTTTACTTGAATGCTAATATGGTCCATCATTAGAGAGAGAAAAACCATGGATGTTTTCTACTTACCAAGATTATGAATTTATAGAAGGTATCAAAGTAAGGTCATGCCTAAATTTGAAGAACTATTCTATCCTATTGAAGCTTCAGAAGTACAATTGGATTAAGACAGAAGATGATATATTAACATTTATCAGCATTTAAATATATTAGGTGGGAAGTCACACCTCTCTTGGATCATTAACATCAAGTAAATGGTTGGAGTCGATTTTTCAGGCAAAGAAGTCCAATTTAAAGAGGAAAAAGACGAAGAATATTTCATATTTTTCCCCTTTGATTTTTCACAATATACATCCAATTGAAAGACAAAAAATTAAAAGAAAAGGACTCAAAGAGTAGAAATAATATTTAATATTTTTTAATGAGTAAACATTTATTCAGAAGTCCCTTGTTTCTTCTAGTCCAGTCACTCTTCTCTTGTTGTTGGTCATCTGTGCCAATATTGACATCCAAAATGTCAAAGGCATACGCAATCTTAACATGTCCAGAACTATTCAGTCCCAAGGTGTTGTGCTTGAGAACCTTGGAATCTTGGATTGCATATTATCATTATTAGCTTGAATGAAAATTATTATCTACAATGGCAAAGATTCAAAGAAAAAATATTCTGTATATTTGGTTGACTTGGAGTATCTTTGTTATAGGTTCCTCGGGCTCGTTGAGTTTATCCCATGTTTCCATAGCTGTTTTTCATAAATATAGACAATCTGTAATGTGGATTACCACTGAATTTGATATCCAAGAGGTTACAAGTTCATTGCCTTTGGTTTAGTGATCTTACGAGTCTAGCTCTAAAACTAAAAGATCATGGTTCTTAAATCATAATACCTGTTTCAGTTATCCGTAAGCCACAAGAGGTTACCCAAACTAACCAAATATACAGATGTAGTTGGGTGTTCTTGAATCTTGTGTTTGCAACATTTAATAGACGTCACAGCACCAAAGAGAGGAGGAACCAGTATTCATCTACGGATGGGGTGAGACCAGTGTTTGAAAACTCGCCGAGTCGAGCCGGACTCGCCCGGTTCGACTCGGGAATTGTCAGCTACCGAGCCAGTTCCACGAAAAAATCGGGAATCGCCCGTGTCCAGAGAAAACCGGGCGATTCTTGGCGATTCCCAATAGTAAATCGAGTGTCTCACCGAAAATTTTTGGGTTCACACGTGGCCGCCTCACGAGAGCGACACGTGGCACCTAAAAACCCTCCACACGTGGCACCTAAAAACCCTCCACACGGGCAATTCACCTCACTCATATGCCCCCTTCGCTTTTCTACATACGTGCCTGAATGACTAGTACACAGCACTTTATAGAGAACAAAAGGTCTCTCATCCTTCGATGTGGGATAATTCCCACAAAAAGCCATTCAAGCAAGATGATTCAATATGTATTATATTATAGTTGCTAATGAAACACATCAGGCGATGTAGTAGTGTTGGTTGAAAACCTTGAATTTTCGGGCAGGCGTCTTGAGTTCGAACCCTGCTCGTCGTCGTTTATAATACAACATTTTTTTTAAGATAAAGATAAAAAATAGAGATAAAGATGAAAAATAAAAAAGCTTTTCAAGATAATGAATAAAAAACTTGAAATAAAATAGAAAAAATAAAAAGATTTTCTTGCTGTAAAAAAAGCTTAAAAAATAAAAAATAAAAAGCTTTTCAAGATAAAGATAGAAAATATAATACAACATTTTTTTATTTTTCTTGTAAAAAAAATAAAAGGTAATATAAAAAGTATTTCTTGCAAAAAAATAAAACAAAAGGCATAAAAAAACTTTTTGACAAC